TTACTGCCTCCTGCACATCCCCCACTTAGGATTGAGCCCACAACCCAGGCCTGTGCCATGACCAGGAATCAAACCATGACCTATTGGTTCATAGGATGATGCTCAACCACTGATCATGCCCAGCCAGGCTCTTTTTTTTTTTTTGGCAAAGTGGTATTCCATTGTGTAAATGTACCACTACTTTTTTAATCTACTCATTTATTGCTGGGCACTTGGGCTATTTCCAGATCTTGGAATTTATAAATCATGTTGCTATGAACACAGGGGTGCATTTATTCTTTTGAATTAGTGTTTCAGGTTTCTTAGTATATAGTCACAGAAGTGGGATCACTGGATCAAAAGGCAATTCCATTTTTTAATTTTTGAGGAAACTCCATACTATTTTCCCACAGTGGCTTCACCAGTCTGCATTCCCACCAACAGTGTACGAGGGTTCATTTTTCTCCACATCCTCGCCAGCACTTGTTGTTTGTTGATTTATTGGTGATAACCCTTCTGGCAGGTGTTAGGTGATATATCATTGTGGTTTTAATTTGCATCACTCTGATTCGTGATGTTGAGCATTTTTCTCATGTATATTGGCCCCTATATGTCATCTTTGGAAAAGTGAATCAGACACACTTTCTAAAAATGTAAATTCTTTATTGTTTAAAGTATTGCATATGTCTCCTTTTTCCCCCATTAACCTCTCCCAGTCTGCTCCTGCCCCCATCAAACACACTCTTAATGGAAATTCCAATTTACTAAAGGAGTTAAGATCAGTGTATTGAAGATTATAATATAGGACATATCAGTTCAATTTAATTCAAGAAATATTTATAGACTATCCACTATGTTCTGGAAATGTGCTAAGTGCTGGCATGCAATGATTGCAATGATAAATAAGATGCTATTCCAGTTCTCAAGGAGCTCTTCATTTAGTGAAGACAAGAAACACATATAACTCAGATATTGGCTGGGCTTGCCTTATTTCTCAGAGATCTTGTAATACTTGGTCTTTGCCTTTGTCATTCCATGATATATGAACTCTTGGCTCCCCTTATGATTTCTTTGCTCATCTGTTGGGCTTATACCTTCTTGCTTTCTTGGGGCTGTCGCCTATGGCTCCTGTATCTACACATGCTGTCTGAGGTTTTACTCAATAAAATTTATACACAGAGCTCAATCCTTCCCCAGTTTTCACAAGAAATCTATTCTCAAAATCCTTTCATAAGTTCTATACTTTATTGAAGATTTGGATATAACAGGGGAAGCTCATAACACAAACCATGTGGCTTTCCACCACCTTCTTTCTCCTCCTCTCATCTCTTCTCTTATCTCCCTCCTTCCAAGATTGCTCCTATAGTTTCCAACACTTGCTCCTTTATTATCTAGAGTACTTCTGTCCTTCCTGGCTCCTCCCTACTAGCTTGCCTACCCAACCCATAAAAGATGTGCTGCCAAACAGTTCCCTTCATAAATGGATCACTTTCTTTGCAAAGAACTTAGTTTTATATTTAGCAAATTTGTTTTTTCATTGTATTTATAAATAAATGAATTACTGTCCTGGCTGCCATGGCTTAGTTGGCTGTAGTGTTGGCCCGTACACTAAAAGGTTGTGGGTTTGATTCCTGGTCAAGGTACATACATAGGTTGTGTTTCAGTCCCTATTTGGGGTGAGTACAAGAGGCAACTGGTCAATGTCTCTCTCACATAGATGTTTCTCTCTCTCTCCTCTCTCTGCCTCTCTCTCTCACCTCTCTCTGTTTCTATGCCTCTCTCTCCCTCTTTATGAAAAAATAAGTGTGGCAGTCCTTGTTAATTGCTTTCCCAATACCTATTCCTCATTTTTTTTTCTTGCCAACAGAATACTAAATTTGTTTTGGAAAGCAATGTTACTCAGGCAAGATACTCACTTTCCCAGTGTCCTTAAAGTCATGGTGGTCATGCACCCAGTTTTGACCAATAATCATGAAGGTAAATCATTTCTGGGGAGTTCAAAGGAAACCTTCTGCTCTGATAGTAAAAGGGACAGATGTAGCTGGTGCTTTTTTCTTAATCCAGGGAAAAGGTCCACCTGAAATATTGTGCTCACCCCTGGTTCAATCAACTATGCTTACTGGTCATGATTATGTTGTAATAACATGGCAGCGCTTGTTGTAACCTTGTAGATGGGGGGTAGAAGAATAAGACAAGAGGAGCAGAATTCTTAGAGAAACTTTCTGGGTATATAATCCCATACATACTTGATACAACAAAGTTAGAACATAAATAGTATCGGTGAAGAGATTATGTTGGTATTGGTATTGGCTAGAATCCCCAGATTGCCTAAATTCTGCCTTATTCTACTCCTCAACTGTTCCCTGAAAAAAAAAACAATCAAAATGGTAAATAGAGCACTATGTTTTTATTAGTTGGTCCTGGGCCCAATATATCCAAGACAGAGTTCTGGGAAATCTAATTTGAAGTGCATGGCACAGACTTGAGGCCTAGTAGAGGCTGCTACCTCCCCAACTCGGCATAAATAAAAATATTACCACCATTTTATTGCCTGCAGGGCACGGGAACCTTAGATGAAGGAAAATAACTTTGACAATGCCAGAAGAATAAAAAGAGGAACAGCCTAGAACTAGGCCATGCCCAGCTGTCTGTCTTTAGTCTAATGAAACCATGTCTCAGCTCATCAGTAAATGTGATCCAGGCAGTGTCTTTCCATGTGATTAATCAGTTTGGTGTTCCATATTGTTTAGGAAGAGGGAAGAAAAGAAAAGGAAAATGTGTAGAAACCATCTGTTAGAGATTTTTCTCATGTGAGTAGAGGAACAGGAAACACTTGTTCTCTCTTAACTCTTTGGGCTCAACAGTTGTGACGATGATGATCTGCTTGGATGATAATCAGACCACTTGTGGGAGAAGAGCCATGAGTATATCATGAAAGTTATGATCCTCCTTTTGTGATACCATCTCTTTGAAATACATCATTTTTTAAATATAGCCTCCCACGACCACAGCTGCACAGCAAGCCAAAAATGAAACCCACTATTTTATTTCCTATCTCAAATGATGTTTGTCTACAGTTCCCCAACCTTGTTCAATAAGTACAATGTGGCAGCATAGTCTGGATAGTGTAACATTCAATCAGCAATTTCTCTTCCATTTGAACAATATGAAAACCCTCAAATATTGTTTTTGCAATGACAGAGATCCCATATGGAAACCTGCTTCTTTTGTAGAAATAAAAGCCAAACATGATGTCCTCCCCAATGTGTTATGTGTCTTTTCCTTGGCCAAAGGAGGTGTCATGCAGATGCCAGGGTGATGTATGGTTTCCTTTAGCAGCTACAGATTTGGCTACATTGCACTGGCATTGTAACTCTTCTAACACTTTTATGCAACTTCAAGTCTCCCTTGGGTCTTCCCTTTCTCAAGTTTCAGTACCACACTCATAAAATATACAACTAAGTGCTTATGACAATCCAGAGTAAAAATAATGTCCCCATGTTACTGTTACCAACCCTATTGCTTGGGGAAGAAGGACAGAGGGTGAACAGAAAAAAAGAGCCAAAATCTTGTTTCTCGCTTTATCTATATGCCTGTCAATTTGAACTAAATCGGCAGTGTCTATAACCTCTTAAATAAAATTCAACTGCGAAATTATCAAGAGGTCAAGTGAGCTTCCATATTTATTCTCTTTTTTTCCTCTAGTGGCAGCTTTTATTTTTTTAAATTAAATCTTTAATGTTCAGATAATTACAGTTGTTCCTCTTTTTTCCCCCTATAGCTCCCCTCCACCCGATTCCCACCCTACGCTCTGCCCTTACCCTCCCCCCACTGTCCTCATCCATAGGTGGAGGATTGTTTTCCAGTCTCTTCCCGTACCCCCCACACCCTTTTCCCCCTGAGAATTGTCAGTCCACTCCCTTTCTATGCCCCTGATTCTATTATATTCACCAGTTTATTCTGTTCATCAGATTATTTATTCACTTGATTTTTAGATTCATTTGTTGATAGATATGTATTTGTAACTCATAATTTTTATCTTCATCTTTTTCTTCTTCCTCCTCTTCTTAAGGGATACCTTTCAGCATTTCATATAATACTGGTTTGGTGGTGATGAACTCCTTTAGTTTATTCTTATCTGTGAAGCTCTTTATCTGACCTTCAATTCTGAATGATAGCTTTGCTGGGTAAAGTAATCTTGGTTGTAGGTTCTTGCTATTCATCATTTTGAATACTTCTTGCCACTCCCTTCTGGCCTGCATAGTTTCTATTGAGAAATCAGCTGACAGTAGTATGGGTACTCCCTTGTAGGTAACTAACTGTTTTTCTCTTGCTGTTTTTGAGGTTCTCTCTTTGTCTTTTTTTTTTTTTTCAAATATATTCCATTGATTTTTCACAGAGAGGAAGGGAGAGGGACAGAGTGCCAGAAACATCAATGAAAGAGAAACATTGATCAGCTGCCTCCTGCACACTCCCGACTGGGGATGCGCCCACAACCAAGGCACATGCCCTTTACTGGAATCGAACCTGGGACCCTTCAGTCTGCAGGCCGACGCTCCATCCACTGAGCCAAACCAGTCAGGGCACTCTCTTTGTATTTTGCTCTTGGCATTTTAATTATGATGTGTCTTGGTGTGGTCCTCTTTGGATTCCTTTTGTTTGGGGTTCTCTGTACTTCCTGGACTTGTAAGTCTATTTCTTTCACCAGGTAGGGGAAGTTTTCTGTCATTATATCTTCAAATAGGTTTTCAATATCTTGCTCTCTCTCTTCTTCTGGCACTCCCATAATTCGGATGTTGGTATGCTTGAAGTTGTCCCAGCGGCTCCTTACACTATCTTCATATTTTTTGATTCTTTTTTCTTTTTTATTTTTAATGGTTCAAAAAAAGCTGTAATATTGTTCTTGGAACACACGGAACCAGCTATTAACTTCTTGCTACTCTAACAAATACTAACAGTTCAGTCCAGGTTACTGTGACCTTTGACAGATCAAGGAAACAAGTTATTTTCTCCTCTTATGATTGTAGCACATTGCCAGACACATTTGCCTTTTTAATAAATGCCCTGGTACTCTGAGTTTCCTTTCCAATTCATGTACTTTCAACAGTTTGTCAAAAAAGAGCCAATAAACAAATATTGAATTACATTTTGTTGGGTCTTTCAAACCCTCAAGCTCCAGACTATAAAAACATCTTGTGTGTCTCCCACCCCGACCACCCGGCTTCTTTTCCATACACCACAGACCACCCATAGATACAAAGCCAAGGGTGAAGCTGACACGGTCTATTTGGAGCCAGTAGACAGGAGGGCGATGAGACCTGATGAAGCACTTATGGACAGAATATAGTTCACTGTGGGGTTGAAGTTCTTCAATATAAAGAAGGATGCAACGATGACCAAGACCAGGAATAAGGTGTTGTTATAGAAGATGGAAAATGTTGTAGCTTCATAATCAGCAACTTCATTCTTCTTCCACAAGATTCTTTCATCTTTTTCCTTCCGAGACATCTTTCTATTATCAGCTTCAGAAAGTTTTCGAGTCACTTCTTTGGAAACAGCATCTTCCCTCTTCTGTGCTACTTTGTGCTTGAGTACAAATTTCACCTTTTTGTAGGCAAAGGCTACCAAATAAGTGCTTACAAGGGTCATCACACTGTACAGAACAGCAGACTGAATAAGATCTATATGCCATATTCTCCAGTATAACCAGATGGGGATGGTGGACACGATGAAGGCATTCCCGAAGAAGAGTGCGGAGGACTTGGCTGAGAGGTTGCGACTGAAATCCTGGAGGAGCAGGTCCTCCACGGACTGCTGCTTGGAGCTGCCTTTGGGAGCCATGGTGGAGCCGGAGGTGGAGCCGGGAGCCAAGAGCGGATTCTTTTTTCTTTTTGTTTTTTCGGTTGGATGTTTTTTGCTTCTTGGTATTTCAAATCTTTGACTTGATTCGTGCGATCCTCTAGTCTGCTGTTGGATCTCTGTATAATATTCTTTATTTCAGTCAGTGTATGCTTAATTTCTAGTTGGTCCTTTTTGATAACCTTGAGGGTCTCACTAGATTTAACGAGGGTCTCACTAAATTTATCGGCGGTTTCTAGAAAATCCTTGAAAAACCTTAAAAGTGTGGTTTTGAACTCTATATCCAGTAGTTTGCTTTCCTCCATTTCTGTCATTTGCGACCTGTTTCTTTGTCTCTGCATTTTGGCTGCTTCCCTGTGTTGATAGAGTGGCTTTCTGTGCTAGGTGTCCTATAGAGCCCAGTGGCTCAGGCTCCCCAATTACCTGAGGTGGACACTCTTGGTATACCCCTTTGTGAACTTTGTGCACAGTCTTGATGTAGTTAAGCCCTGATTGTTGTAGATATCACTGGGTGGAATTGACCTCCAGGTCAATTGGCTGTGAGAATCAGCTGTGACTACAGTGGGAGAACTTCTGTGCTGGAGACACCCTTCTGGGGCAAGACTTGCTTCAGTGAGGCTTTGGTGCTCACTGAGTCTGCCCCCTGAGTGTGTCCCTTATGGATCTGAGGGGTTGTAATCTGGATGGTCCCACTCTGACCACTAGGTACACTAGCTCTTGGATCTCTAAGGAGGTGCGAATTTAGCCTCTGCTGGAGGCTACCCAGCAGGAGCTACAGAGAGATCTACAGATTCCTCTTCTTTGTTTGGGATTTGGAGGTGACTAGATGAGGCCCAGATGTGAAGCAATACAAGCTGCTGTGGGGACTTGGGCCTTCTTTTGGATGTTCTGGTTCTCTCTGACCCTGCTGCAGTTTGTTAGGTAATTTTAGATTGCAAAGAGCCAGGCCCTTTCATATGCAAAAGCCGCTGGACACAGCTTGGGTGGGGCGGGGTCTCAGGGAATCAACAGGGCGGAGCAAACAGCTATGGCTGATCCCCAGCCCTGCCCTAAGAAGCCCAGGGTCTCAGTGTCCCACGGTAATCGCTGCAAGCATATCTGAGAAAAAGCTGCCCTCGAGTTCTGCCTGATGCCAGACAGTCCAGTTTCTCCCCATATGAGTCTGGGTCCCCAGAGACTCACCCAGAACTGGATTTCAGAGCAGTTGGGACCAGTGTTTCCCTCCCAATTGAAAAAGACAACCGCCTCTTCAGTTGCAACCCCTTTTTGTGTGTGCCTCTGTACCTCTGCACTTTACTTCCACACCTCCTCTGAGTCTCAGTGTGCTTTTCTCTTTCCTTCTAGTTGTAGAATTTCCACTCAGCCAGCCTTCCTGTGGTTCTGGGTGATGTCCGTTTTGTCTTTTAGTTGTATTTTTTAAGTGGTTGTGTGAGGCAGCAATTTCAGGTATTTACCTATGCTGCCATCTTGGTTTCTCTTCCAGTGGCCCATATTTATTTTCTAAGAGCCTTGTGGAATATCAAATATGTATTAGCTCTGTGTTGATACTATTGGCACTTACCAAATAGATTCATGGCAGGATTGTTTTACATTAGCGTTTGAATTTCCTAAGCTATGGTAATAAATAATAACAGAGATTTTTTTCTACCATCTAAATTTTCCTGCCACAGCAGGATGTGACCTGCCTTGGAGAACTATAACATTATTCAGCTCCAAGTGAGAGAAAAGGTAGGCTGGGGAGTATGAGAGAGCAAGATGCTGTCCTGTCAATCATTGCATAAAAACATGTACACCCCATTTTTTTTTCTATCTACAGGGTCTATCCTGGCTGGCCATAAGGAGAAATTTTCTTTCTCTTTTAGGACTCTGCCTTCCAATCTAGCTTCAGTAGAAGTACAGCTATCTCTGCAGTCTACATTCACCAAATAATATAATTGAGTAAACACAGTCTCTTCAATAAGTGTTATTGGGAAAATTGGACATGCAAAAAATGAAACTAGACCACCAAGTTACATCACACACAAGAATAAACTCCAAATGGATAAAAGATTTAAATGTAAATCATGAAACCTTAAAAATTATTGAAGAAACCATAGGTAGAAAAATCTCAGACATTTCTCATAGCAATATGTTTACTAATACATCTCCTAGAGCCGTGGTCGGCAAACTGTGGCTCGCAATCCACATGCAGCTCTTTGGCCCCTTGAGTGTGGCTCTTTCTAAGTCTTAGGAGTACCCTAATTAAGTTAATAACAATGTACCTACCTATATAGTTTAAGTTTAAAAAATTTGGCTCTCAAAAGAAATTTCAATCATTGTACTGTTGATATTTGGCTCTGTTGACTAATGAGTTTGCCGACCACTGTTAGAGCAAAGGAAACTAAAGAAAAATAAACAAATGGAACTACATCAGAATAAAAAGCTTCTGCACAGCAAAGGAAACCATCAACAAAATGAAAAGGGAGGCTAGTGCATGGGAGAACATATTTGGCAATAATACAACAGATAAAATGTTAACATTCAAAATATATAAGGAAATCATACAACTTAACAAAGGAAGACAAATAATCTAATTAAAAAATGGGCAAAAACGGATACAGACCTTTCCCCAAAATGGACATACAGACGGACAAGAGACATACGAAAAAATTCCCAAAGTCACTGATCATCAGAGAGTTGCAAATCAAAATGACAATGAGGTATCACCTCACACCTGTCAGAATGGCTACCATCAACAAATCAACAAATGACAAGTTCTGGTGAGGATGTGGCCAAAAGGGAACCCTAGTATACTACAGGTGGGAATGTAGACTGGTGCAGCCATTATGAAAAACAGTATGGAGTTTCATCAAAAACGTAAATATGGAACTGCCATTTGACCCAGTGATCCCACTTCTAGGAATATATCCCAAGAAACCTGAAACACCAGGCAGAAAGAATGTATGCACCCCTATGTTCATAGTAGCACAATTTACAATTGCTAAGATGTGGAAATGGCCCAAGTGCCAATGAGTAGATGAGTGGATAAAAATGCTGTGGTACATTTATACTATGGAATAGTATGCAGCAGTGAAAGAGAAGAATCTCTTTTTTTTTTTTTTTGGTTTTCCTTTTGCTTTTATTTTTTTTTATTGCTTAAAGTATTACAAAGGATATTACATATGTGTCCATTTTATCCCCCCGCCCTAGACAGTCCCCTAGCCTCCCCTATCCCCCAATGTCTTATGTCCACTGGTTATGCTTATATGCATGCATACAAGTCGTATGGGTACTCCCTTGAAGGTAAATAACTGTTTTTCTCTTGCTGCTTTTAAGATTCTCTCTTAGCAGTACCCTTCATCATATGGGATATGGAAGATGAAGGCCTGTTTGAACACCTTTTCTGTCTGCAGTTACCAAGATAAAACGTCTCCAATTTGCACAGGAACACAAGGATTGGATAGTCGAGCATTGGAAAAAATGTCATGTGGTCTGATGAATCACGTTTCCAGTTGCATCATGCAGATGGCATAAAGGGAATTTGGCAGAAACAGCATGAAAACATGCACCCCACATGCATGAGTACAAACCTTCAAGCTGGTCGGGGCAGTGTTATGGTTTGGGGCATGTTTTCCTGGCATGATTTGGGCCATTTAATTCATGTGGAACAACGTCTGAATAGCACAACATACCTAAGTATTGTTGCTGATCAGGTTCATCCTATCATGTTGATGGCTTATCCCAATGGAGATGGCTTCTTCCAACAAGACAATGAGCCATGCCATGGTGCTCGTATTGTGCAGAAGTGGTTTCAAGAACATGAGGGAGACTTTACCTTGCTTAGGTGGCCCCCACAATCACCAGATCTCAATCCAATTGAGCATTTGTGGGACGAAGTTAAAAGAGCCATCAGGCAGCTGTTTTCACAACCATCAAATCTCACAGAACTGGACAGTGCTGTTCATCAAGCATGGTGTCAGATTCCTCACAGCGCCTTTCAACATCTGGTGGAGTCAATGCCAAGAAGAATTGCTGCAGTATTGAAGGCAAAACGTGGCCCAACGAAGTACTGATGGGGTGGTCATAATAATCTGGACACTCACGTTCAAATATATCCAACGTTTGAAGGCTGTTAAATCACATTGTTTAATCATATCTTCAGAAAAAAATCACATCTACTGTTGTGGTAAACAACCTGCCTTCCTATTTATAATAGTCTGGCCCTCTAGCAACTTCAGTGCGAAATTATAGCTAATTTGCCACAAATGTCAGGTGGTCATAATAATCTGGCAACTCAGTATATATATATATATATATATATATATATATATATATATATATATATCCAGAGAAGAAACATAAACTCATACATACAAATACCAAATTCCCAGTAGAGTGGGTGAGGGCAGAATCTTATATACAAAAAGTAAGGTTAAGAATTGAATGAGAGAAAAACCAAGATGGCGGCATAGGTAAACACTGGAAATTGCTGCCTCGCACAACTACTTCAATAAAACAACTAAAAGACAAAACGGACATCATCCAGAACCACAGGAGTGGAAATTCTACAACTAGAAGGAAAGAGAAAAGCACACTGAGACTCAGAGGACGTGAGGAAGTAAAATGCAGAGGTACTGAGGCATGCACAGAAAGGGCTCGCAACTGAGGACGCAGCTGTCTTTTTCAATCAGGAGGGAGTCTCAAGCTCCCGACTGCTCTGAAGTCCAGCTCTGGGTGAGTCTCTGGGGACCCAGGCTCATATGGGGAGAAACTGGACTGTCTGGAATCGGGAAGAACTCGAGGGCGGCTTTCTCTCAGAGGCGCTTGCAGTGATTACGGCAGAATAGTGAGACCCGGGGCCTCTTAGGGTAGGGCTTAGGATCAGCGATAGCTGTTTGCTCTGCCCTAGTGATTCCCTGAGACCCCGCCCCACCCAAGCTGTGCCCAGAGGCTTTTGCATATGAATGCCCTGGCACTTTGCAATCTAAAATTACCTAACTAACTGCAGCTGGGTCAGAGAGACCCAGAACA